GACCCAATTCCTTGCTGAGGACCAGGCTGCAGGCTCCCCAGGTGCTGACCCTGCACGGCTGTAGGTCCAGGAAGCAGCATGGTTCCAAACTCAGAGATTCCCTTGACTAAAGAATGCTTGCCCGGGAGTGGGTGCTGACTGTGGGAGACGGGAGTCTTCCGTGTAACACACGGGCTCTTCGTTGTAAAGATCTGTGCACACGTACTTAAAAAAAATCTAATGTCTGACTGTTTTGCCCATATGTGTGTGTGCACCACGCGCATGCATGCCGGTTGCTCGTGGCGGTGAGAAGGTGTTGGTCCCCGGGAACTCGGGTTATGGGTATTCGCGAGCTAACATGTAGATGCTGGGAACCGAACTTGGGTCCTCCCCAAGAGCCCCAAGTGTTCTTCATTGCTGAGCCAACTGTTGAGCGACCCCTCCCCTCCCATTTTGTATAAGGCCAGTATTTCAGAAGTCTGAAACTGGGTGGGAAAACTACCTCTGAGAAATGACACTGGGTACAGACAATGGCTGCTCAGAACCATCCAGCCCTGCTTAATTTTGCCGTGTGAACATAGGATTGTTCCCCAGTTGTGTGTGTGTGTGTGTGTGTGTGTGTGAGAGAGAGAGAGAGAGAGAGAGAGAGAGAGAGAGAGAGAGAGAGAGAGAGAGAGAGAGAGAGAGAGAGAGAGAGAGAGAGACAGGGTCTCACTACAGAGGACTGGCTGGTTTGAAATTCACTGTAGTGACCAGGCTGCCCTCAAACTCATAGAGATCCACCTACTTCCACCTGGCTCCTGCTAGGATTAAAGGTGCCCACCACCATCCCCACCTGTTTTTGTTTTTAAATTTTTGTTTGTTTTGAGCAGGGTTTCTCTGTGGCTTTGGAAGTTGTCCTGGAACTCACTCTGTAGACCATGCTGACCTCGAACTCACAGAGATCCACCTGCCTCTGCCTCCCGAGTGCTGGGATTAAAGGCGTGCGCCCCCAACGCCGGGCTGTTTTTAAAGGCTTTATTTATGTTTGTGCAAAAGAGCTGGAGTTGCAGGCCATTGTGAGCCATCGAGTGGGTGCCGGTAACTGATCCCAGGTCATCTGCAAGAACAGTGGGCGCTCTTCACAAGCAAAACATCCTGTTTGTGTGGGCGTTTTTTGCTTTGTTTTGAGGTTCAGGCTAGTCTTGAACTTGGCGTCCATTGGTCAGCAGTTTCCTCTGAATCGGGGTGCTCCCCGCAGCAGGGAGAGGTGGGCGGCGCTTGAGACTCAGGAAGTAAACAAACTTCGCAGGTAGCCGGAAGAGGCTCACCAGCCCCCTTGCTCTCAGTCCTGCAGAGAGCTCGGGGTTGCTGCTTTCATCAGTGCGGGGAGGGAGGGGGTGTGCACTCTTCGACCCTGTAACTTCTGCTCAGGGTCCTCCCTGCTCCTCACCCGTACTCTGGTCAGCAACCCCAACTAAATCTCCTTGGCCCACCGAGTTGTGCCTTGACGCGGTTCTTACTTTGGTCCATTCCCTTTCTGGGGAGTGTGAACCTCTGCTTTATGTCTCCCGAGGAAAAAGCCAGGCATGAGCCACTTCTTAAGATTAATTAATGGGTTAATAACAGGGGGCTAAATAACCTCTCCTATAGTCTAGGACATCACAGTATTTATATTCTGAAAAGTGAGGCCGCACTGATTCACAACAAGAGCGACCTTGGTTTTCGGTGGCTGCAGTGGCAGAGGAGACAATCTAAACCGCGCATTCTATACCACGGAGGTGCTTTGGCCGCCTCACCCATCCCTTCCTAATTCCCTTTGTGTCAGCTCCTACTGGCTCTCCCTGTTGTGCCCAAACTCTGAACCCCCAAATCACCAAGAGACCGAATCCGATGCAAAAGCAACAAGTCTTTAATTAACGAGCTAACTGCATTAACTGGGGTCCTCCATCCGCTCAGCGGGTGGAACAAGAAGGACCTGGAGGGTCTGTGGGGTGGAGCAAGGGGAGTGTCCCGTAACAGTTTTGGGATTGGTGCACTTCTGGGCGACCTGTCCTGTCCTGTGTTGGTTGGTCAACCGCAGCTGCAAGTAGGTTGCTATGGCCTACAAGGCCCTCCCAGGGCAGTTGCTATGCTCTGCACTCCACTGTTACATGGTAAAGCTTACCGTAAAGCACAGCCAGAGCCCTGCCAGCTAGCTAACTTCTGATGGGTTCCTCCTCACATGGGGGGCAAGGTCGGGGAAGGTCGTAAGCTCAGCACACGCTGCTGAGTCAGGGGCCTACATCTTGCTGGGTCTCTTCTGCAGCCTGTCACGGCTGCCAAAGCAGGGGGCTGGGTGAGGGTCGGGTCCCTTCACCCTCTTCTGCCTCCAATAAAGTTATGTTCTTAGTTGTTAATTTTGAGGGAGGAAAACAGCATGAGAGGGGCCCACGGTATGGCTTGGTGATTGCACCAATACTCATGCCCTGAGTTTGGTTCCTGGAACCCACTTGGTAGAGAAGGAGAAACAACTCCCAAAAGTTGACCTCTGACCTCCACATAGATGCACAGTGGCGCTCTCACCCCAACACACACACACACACACACACACACACACACACACACACCATAGCTCTGAAAGCCAAGCCTAGCCATTCTTAACCCAGAATCACAAAACAGTTGAGCCAAAAGCTGCAGGTAGAAAACGTTGATCTTCGATGGGCTGTGGTGGCACGCGCCTTTAATCCCAGCACTCAGGAGGCAGAGGCAGGCGGATCTCCAGGCTTGAGGCCAGCCTGGTCTACAGAGTGAGTTCCAGGACAGGCAGGGCTACGAAGAGAAACCTTGCCTTGAAAACCCAAATTAAAAAGAAAAGCACCGATCTTCATTGAGGGCGACTGGGGAGATGGTATGGCGTGCCTTTTTGTAATACTTTCCATTTTGCTTTTACTTCATGACACACAGCACATTACTGCCAACACAGTCCCTGGACTAACCAAAGCTCGTCACCTGGAATGTTCCGGAAACAGACTGATATATTGTCTGTACTGGAACAATATTCCCCGAGGCGATTATTCCACGCCTGCTATTGGGGGGGGGCTTGTTAGCGAACTGGACGGAACTGGAGAGATCCCCTGCAGAAACTTAGGCATTGGTCTGGGCAGTGTCGATGACGATCTCTTGTTCCTGTGAAGAGACTCTGTGAGTCTGAGGTCTGAACGCTGGTACAGTGCTTCCCCGGGTACGGTGACTACCTGGATGTGAGGGCTTGGTAGGGCCAGGACTGCCTATCAAGAAAATAATTTGTATTCCTTCACTGGGCCTGGTGGTTCAGACTGCAATCCCAGTGGTTAAGGGGTAGAGGCCTGAGGACCAGCCTGGGCTACATAAGGAGCCTCTTTCTGGGGGGTGGAGTGGGGTGGGGTGGGGTAGGAATTTCCATTCCTTAGCATTGAGTACTGCAGGTGGTGGTCTGACCACTACAGAAAATTATTGGCTGAAAACAGCCCATCCGTGCTTGTAAAGCCACACTACAGGTTGGCCACAGAGCCAGCTCCAGACCCACCCATTTTCTTCCAGCAAACTGTGCAAGGCCTGTGTGGTTCTCCCGAGCCAGGGGAACTCGACTTTGAGTGTGCGGCATGAAAGAGACCCAGTCCTCGGCAGCAGCTCTCTACCCTCCGTGATGAAACCACTTACAGGTGCCCCTCTCTGGAAAACAGAGCTCTCCCATCTCAAACCTCCCTTCCCACGGGGGCAGTTTCCATTCGGTGAAGCCATTCTTTTGTAAAATGTGTCCCTTGGGCTTGCTGGTCAGTGAACTGCTCCAGGGAGCAAAGTGACCAGATTCTGAGCCAGACTGGCGCTAGAGGCGGAGACACACCAGCCTCTGACTCCAGCAGGACCAGGCTGTCTGTTCCACAGGCTCAATGGCCCAAGACCTTGGCCAGCCGCAGAAAGAGAGCAGATGCTGGGAAGGGGTGGGCGGGTAAATGGAAAAAACAAACAAATAAACAAACAAACAAATCCCCGGCACCTGATGGGTAGCACCAGAGACTGAAAGTCACCTAGGCGCTGGGCCTTCTCTGTCCTGATTCTTCCTGCTACATCACCAAGTTCTGGAAAACAAGAAGGGTACCTGCAAGCCACCCCCTCGGCGGGGCACTCTGCTGTCCCCTAGCCGACGGGTGATGGGGGTGGACACTGTCGTGGGATTAGCTCTGGTGGCGGACTCTGGGCCCAGGCAGCATCAGAGGCGGCACCTGCGCCTCGGGTATTGAATCCCGCGCAGCTTAGGGTGGTGCCGGAAGCCTGCGCCAGTGGCCGGGGGAGGGGAGGGGAGGGAGTGTCTCTGCAAAACGTTTTCCACGCGACATCTCGCCGGGTGTCGGGCTTCCAGAAGCGACCTGAGGAGTCCCGGGTGCCACGGATCTCCCGCCAGCTGCCGCTGGCTCCTCGGGTACGCGCTTCTTCGGCCCCTTCGCGTTCCACACACCGTCTCGGCGGGGGCTCTTCTTCCCGCGCTCGGCTCGGTGGCGCAGCTCGGACAGCGGCTCTGGCCGCTCGCCCAAGTAAAGGCACCGCTTCTGGGCGGCGCGGCCCTGCCCTGCCCGCGCGCGGTCCACCTCTCTGCGCACCTGCCTCCCGGGCGGAGCGGAGCGGGGCGGGGCGGGGCCGGGTGCGCCGGCGCAGGTCACCGCTCGGACGCTGGAGGGGGCTGTGGTTCTCTGCTGTCCCCAGGCTGTGCCCAGGCTCCCCCTGCCGAAGGCCCGGTCCAGGCCCAGGGAAGGGCGGTGGTAGCGGGCACTTCCCGCTCCCCAGGCTCGGAGGCGGCTGGCTGGTCCCCGCGCGGGCGCAGCAGCTGCGGGGAGCGGGGCGGGGACGCTGCCGCTGCCGCTGCCGCCGCCGGCTCTGCGCCGCTCTTCTCCGCTCGAGTGGGTGCTCCGGCCGGGCGTCGAGGCGGCCGCGGCGACCCGGAGCGCGCTCCCCACCCACCCCGCCTGCTCCGCCCTCCCCTCCGCCCCGCGCCACCTTTGATGGCTCGGACCTCGGCCGGCCGCCGCCAGCCTAGCTCGCCCGCTCTCACGCCCGCCCGCCCGCCAGCCGCCCGCTGGGGACCCCTCGCTCGCCCGCCGCCGCGCCTTCGCCAACCCCTGCAGCCCGCAGCGCGCAGCCGGGACCCGGAGCCGCCGGAACCGCCGAGGTAGGAGGCGCGCAGCGAACAATGACCGCGGCTGGAGGGCGGCCGCCAGGGTGGACCCGGCCGCCGCGGCAACTTGTGCGAGTCCCTGCGGCCGCCGCCCGGGGCGCGGGCCGAGCTGGCTGCGGGGGTCCGTGGGGACGATCCCGCCCGTAGCCGGCGGCCGCAGGGCCCCGCAACAATAGTGGGAGCCGGGGCTCCTTGGGCACCCGTGGCGCTCACCTCCGCGGACCTGGGCTGTGGGGCTCCGAGCTTGTGGGTCCCCCCTCCCCCGCTTTGGCCTCCGCTCCGCGGGCGCCCTTCCCCCGCTTCCTCCTATCCCACCCTGCCGGGTGACAGCGCCCCCGACGCCTCTTCCGGACCTCGGGCTGCAATCTCGGCCCTGGAGGTCGGTCCCTGGGCCTCCGAGGTGGGCCGGTGGCGCGGGTGCCACCGTGCCGCCGGGTCACCGCAGCTCGCCCACGCGCGGCGAGAGCCTCCCGGTGGGTGACAAAGAGGAACACACCCTCTTTAAGTTAGATCCTTGCTGTTGCATGCCTTATAGGGGGGAAAGTTGTGGTTTTTTTTTTCCTTTTTTGAAAGCACAGAATGTGTAATTATTTTTCTTGTTTTTGCGCGTGGGGCATTTCAGAACTTCTGATTGTGATTTTTTTCTTTTCTTTTTGTTTTTTACGATGTAAGTTCGGGAAACTTCAGCCGTGTGATCCATCCGGATCCCTCTGAGCGAATGATTTTATACTTGGGAGTCGTGGAGGTGGGGGTACGAGTTTCATTGATGGGACCGTGAGACCAGCTGCTGGGGCGCGGAGGTGGGTGGGTTGTAGAATATCCTAAAAAAAAAAAAAGGGAGGGGACGATTCACAAAGAAACGAGGTTTGGGACGCGCTGCTGGCTGGGGCTGTGGGAGCGAACGGCTGCCTCTCATCTGGAACAGTTTACAGTGCTCAACCTCTCGCACCCCTCCCCCTCTCCGGAGTTCGGTGGCCTCGGGCTGTTTCATTTATTTTTTGCTCCAGCCTTCTTCCTTGCCGGTTTCCCGCGTCTGACTCCCATAGCCTTGGCCCCTGGCCTTGGGTATCCCCGAGACCTCATCCCCTCCTTCTAGTAGGCAGCGTTTTCCCGAGCCTAACCTACAACCCACCCACCCCGCGCGCCCCTTGGACCATGTTTAATGTGGCTCGCACGTGGGGACTTCAGAACATTTCCCCAGCGCTGACTTGCTTTTCTTTTTCTATCTGAACAAGGAATGGAGAAAGAGAAAAAAAGCATTTTGGGTTCTGGAAGCTTTAGTGGGGTGTTGGCTTTAAAATTGGTTCGGTTTTTTAAGGATAAGGTGGGGCTCCCAAATCCCTGCGGCCGGCCGCCGACTTCCCTCCCTGGCACTGCTCTTGCTGGGGCCTCATCCTCAGCCTTTCTGGTGGGTGGGTCCCTGACGATGCTTGTCTTCTGTGGGTGATATGGCATCCACAGAGCTCACTTTATATTCCCGCAGCATCGATCTGCAGCAAGACGCTAATATTGGACCTACTCCAAGCACAACGGAACGTTTGTGTTTTTAGTATGTCTGGCTAATAGCTCTGCTTCTGGTTAAAATAAATAGAAGCATTATTGGGCAGTGACTGGTCTACTGGGGGAGTTGGCGGTGTAGATAGCGAGCAGATGTCTGCCAACGCCACAGGAAGCTAGAAATATTTGGTCATCGATGAGGTAGCTACCTCATGGGGTGAATGGAGAACTTGGTGTGAGCCTCTGATTCGGGGTGTGCTGTTAGATGCAGGAGTTCTGTATGTCGGGGATCCTCCTGAAGTTAGGTATACAAGGAAGGCATCCCCTCTTCTTTGTGAGAATAGGGTCCTGCAGAATATCCCTGACAGGAGATCCTCCTGTCTCAGCCACCTCGAGTGCTAGGGTTATAGATAGGCGTGCACACACGCCACCTATTTATGATGTACTTTCCCACACTGATACTCTCTGGGCATTGATACTGGGATCATTGTTTTGAGCAGTGTTTATGTCTTGTTCTTCATTAAAGACATTGCCTAAGGGAAAAAAATTTAAAGATGAAGATTAAAAGTAAGATGGAAAAGGTTGAGGTATAGGGACCACATATGTAATCGTACCGTCCTGGAGGCAGAAGTAGGGGGCTCTTAAGTTCCAGGCCAGCCTTGGCTATACAGTAAGTTCAAGGTCAAGGTCAGCCTTACCTCTAATCTCAGTAACAGAAGAAAAAAAAGGAAAAGAATGCCTAATAGTTTATTTCACTTGGACAAAATGAGTAGATGAACTCTAGATAGGAAAGACAAAAACTAATTTTTGCATGCTGGTTTATTACTTTGGAAAACCAGCCTGTGGACATCTCAGAGGACCAAGGAGACTTGACTTCTCAGGGACTTCATATTTTGCTTTCTTGATGCACAAAAGATTGTACCAATCTTTTGTGACTGGCTTGGCTGGCTGCAGATAATGGATTTTTTGAACTGTACTTTCTCTCTGAAAGAAGATGCTAACATTAAAGAAGAGGGCTCCCACAACCCTGTGTTACAGTCCTTGGAGTCCTTTCTTCCAAGGGCTGGGAGGTGTGCCTGCTGTTGGTGGCCTCTTGCCTGGGAGAGGAGGAGGACCTCGGGAGGTTGTAGGTCTTCCTGGCTGGCTTTCTCCTGTGCGATGGTGCTTTTGATGGACAGGAGGTGTAAGCTTACTTGGTGGAGTGTTCATCCTGGGTCCTGTCCTTAGCCACTGATAAAGCATGGGTGCTGGCACCTGCCTGTAACACTGGCACTCTGGAGGTGGGAGGGTCAGGTGTTCAAAGTCGTCCTTGGTTATAGTTGCAGAATGAGTTTGAGGCTAGCCTGGATTAGACACACACACACACACACACACACACACACACACACACACACACACACACACACAGGAGAGCTCTCCTCGTAGGCTTGAACATATGTGGTTGCTCTGTTTTTTCTTGCCTTTTAATGGTGGACACTTATTCTGAGGCCTCACTCAGCCCTCCGTGACACAGGTTTGTTATAATGAACCCTTGTTAACTACTTCCACGTGGCCAAGGTTAACCAAATGGTTTCCATTAAGATTACTGGAAATGCCTGCTTCTCCGTCTACTTCTGCCAGTTGTCGCTTTTGTTTTTAAATCAGAAAGCCCCCGAGCAAAATTTCAGTGGGGAGAAATTAACTTCCAGTGGGGGCAGAAATTAACTTTCGGTGGGGGATAGGCTTTCCCTGTTTGATTCGGTAGGAAATGTTTGAAGGGATGCTTTGGACAGAGTGGACGGTTGATACATTGTTTAAACATGGTACTCAGAGCTTGTACTTGTGAAATAAAAAAAAAGAACCAACAACCATACACCTGACTAGCATTGGGCACATGGTCAACAGCTTTCAGTGGGGTTCCAGTTTTGCTGTGGTGTTGAGATTATAGACTGAATATTTGGAACTAGTGTGGGATTCATCACTTACGCAGAGTTAGTTTCCTGTGTTAAACTGTCACTTGTGCATGCATTAAAACAAAAATGCCTCAGGCCCAACTAGGTTCTCTTCAGTGAACTCTTGCTGTGTGTTAGTTAATAAACGCAGTATGTGTGGCAAAAGTCACTTTGTTTTGCCTGAAGACTTTTGGAGAAATACTTTTCATAAAGGTGATTTATTCTCAACTTCAAAGGAAGACTTAGAAGTCAGTGGTATAATGCTTTCAGTTTTTCCTTCTCACCCTGTTATTTCCGGGTGTAGGATAGTGCCTGGAACACAGCAAACCCTTGATAAATATTTGTTGAGTGAATAAACATGCCTAGCTTTCAATGCTCTTTTAAATTAGTTCCTGAGTTTTTTTTTTTAGGGGGGGATTTAACAGCATCAGTAGGTTACAGTTCTGGGATATGACAGTTGGATATTTGACTTATATATTCATTTCTTTGTAACCGAACACTTTGGTTCTTAAAGCTGGCTGACATGAAAAATATACATTCATTTTTTCTTTTACATTACGTAAAAGTGATACAGTGAAAACATGGAGAAAATAAAATTTACCTGTAACCCTGCCACCTCCTACCAAATACGTGTGTTAATATTTTGGTGTCCATTTGGCCACTTTCCCTGACTGGAATGGGTTTCTGCCGGTCCTCCTGGGTGTGGGTGGCTTGGGCGGCTGTGCTCTGTCCTCTTTGCAGAGGTTTCTGGGTGTTTCCCTCCTGGGTGCTCTGCCTCTCAGAACTCTCAGTGCATCTGGGGGTGGTACCCTCCTTCTCTGAGCGCCTTTAATGTCTCTGTTTCAGGAGGATGGACTGTCAGGGTTTGGAATTCTCAATGGTGGTTCTCATGTCACCCGTTCACTGTTGCTTGTGAATGGTGGCCGGGCTTTCTTTGTGGCATTCTGCAGTTCCACTGTAGCGGGGCACAGGTGTCATTTCTTTTCTGCTTTGTGTTTATTCCTGGTTTATTATTTTTTTCCTCCTTCCTTCCTGCTCTACTTTCTTAGTTGTCTTCTTTCCAGGGGATTCCTCTGTGTTCCTCAGTGATTCTCGCAGTACCTGGGTTGTGACACCAAGATGTGGCCGGCCATCTGGTTGTCTTGAGTGTGGTACCCGTGAGGGAAGGTCCTGTGGACAGACAGGTCTTTGCGTGGAGGTATGTTTTCATCGTTTGCGTTGGGCCTCGTAACTGCTGTGTGTTTTCTCAGGGCTTTGTCCTGCTTTAGGTTCCCACCTGCCAGGTGCCAGAAACCCCTGCCTGCTCTTGCGACTCTCAGTCTTTTTCAGTTTGGCCCGTTACGGGGGATGTGTAGTAGTAGTTATGGTTCTAGTTTGTATTTTCATGGCGACCCTTGGAATCATTTCATGTGTTCCCCAGTCAATTGTATGTCCACTTCTTGTAAATACCTACTACAGTGTGTGTGTGTGTGTGTGTGTGTGTGTGTGTGTGTGTGTGTGTGTGTGTCTGTCTGTCTGTCTGTCTGTCTGTGTGTCCATGCACGGTACAGTGTGATGTGACAGTTT